CACATGTCCAAAAACTCGCATACATTCTCAAAGGCTTCTTATTGGAAACTCGTTCACACAGGGCGGCACGGTGGCTGAGTGGATAGCACTCTCGCCTCTCAGCAAGAAGGTCCTGGGTTCGAATCCCGGTCGGACCAGGGCCTTTCTGAGTGGAGTTTGCATGTTCTCCCCGTGTCTGCGTAGGTTTCCTCCGGGTACTCCGGTTTCCCCTACCACTAAAAATATGTCCAATAGTTCTGGCATGCGCCTCCTGTACTGGCGACCCCGCTCCCATCTCTGTGTGGAGTGAGAGACAAATGCCCAAAAATTGACAATTGTAAACCGCTTTGAGACTCAGATCTGCAGTGAAAAGGCGGTATATAAATACAAACTTACTTACTTACTTACTTACTTACATGGCCTCTCAACAAACATCTGAAATATGGCCAAAAAATGTACACAAATATTCAGAGCCATGGATGCCCCTAGAGTTCAAGTGAATGCTGTGAGGTGACAGTGCTATCCACTGAAGCACAATGCTGCTCATTTGACTGAATAATGTATGCATGTATGTGGTGCCTTGCTGTTTTCATCTTCTCTATTAAAGCATGTTGTTTCCACATCAGTTATGCATGCAATAGTCATTCTGGCCTAGGGACAGAGCCCTACTGTAATTGCATACTACTTGACATTGGAGATTATTTTTTGAAACAAGCATACAATTGTTTCATACTCAGATGCATTACACTTTCGTTGTTCTCCTGTGAATAAATATTTCAGTATCTTTGTGAAAATGATTAACTTAATTAACTTTTGTTGTAATATTCTAGTAATCAAATACGGTAAAAGTAACAGAGCGTGAAGATGCAGACATGGATGTGTTTTTCTTTCATTGGACGCTCTCAACCGTAGCTCATTGTCCGGTTGAAACAGAAAGAGTCTGCTTCAGTCAGACACAAAGACATTCAGGAATTACCATTACAAGATGGTGCTTGTAAAGTCTCGGACAAAGTGTGTAGCTCCGGGCAACTCGTCTATGTTTTAGGAAAATATGTTAAGTGCACAGCAGAGACCACTTCTGGCAGGGTGTTTTGCTGTTGAAGTGCTGAACTTTGGGTCCTGGGACTCTCCCACTTTGTGCTCTCAAATGAATCCTCCTTTTACAGAAATGTGCTCGAATTCAGACTTGGAAATGAAGTCTCACAATAACAAGAGTATTGTATTAATGAGGATTCTAGAGCGAGGCAGTAGGTTGAAGGCTAAACCTTTGAATGTATACATTTAACATACATTACATACATTACACACATTTAACTTTCAACTCAAAGGAAGGTAAGCATTTGTTTTCCCTGAAGTGATTTTATTACAAAGTTCATGAGGACTTACAGTATTACAAGAGAATTTTGTCAACATGCGAAAAACAGAACAAAGCCGAAACACAGGAGTTTTGGAACAAACTGTAAAGAGAAAGAGACGATCCACTTTTCACGATCAACAAAAAAACTGAGGAAGTCCTCAGCAGGTGGGACCCGTGAATGACTACAGTGCAGGCATAGAACGGCCACATTCACACTGACTCAGCAAAGGTCAATCCAAACCAAGGCAAGATGTGCACAGCTCAAGAAAAAAAACAAAAAAACATGTTACAATTTTTATATGCCATCGGCTTTTCTCAGAACTTTTAGAAAGCGTCACTTGTATGTACATAAAACTGTACAAAAACATGGCATCACAAGCATTTTATCCTATATAAATATACCAACAGTTAGGATAACAACTAGATTCTCTCTTGCAAAGACGTATTTTCAAGGCAATTGTCTTTGTTCTAGATGAACAGTGAAAAAAGGTGAAATGCTGCAATTAATTTCAGTCCGTTTTAGGGCATTTTTGAAAATGGACCAACATTTTCCCCAGACAAAGTGAAAAAGCGTAAACAGCTTCTACCAATTATCTTTGGAATTCATGCTAAAATCGCTGCCTGCCTCCAACAGCAGACTTTAGGGCTGTGTGGAAATCTATGTACACAACACCACTATTAGATTTATATTCTCACACAACCACTTTCTCTAAAATCTGTAACAAAAAAAAATCCCGCCCTTTTTTGCCAATTTCTCAATTTTTGTCCATCTGTCCAGAGGAATGATCACCATACAATACGCACCACATAGGCAAAAGATACTCAAGTGAATTCAACATTAAATCAATGTTAAGTACAAATTAAACGTTACTCCATGTATTTTTGAGTGAGTTTCGGTGCTTCACAAGTCCTGTACTTGGTCCATTCAGCATGAGTTCAAAAGAAGGTTGATATTTGAAATCGTGGTCCTTGGGAGAATTGGTGGGTTATTATCGGCATGTCCAATGCTTTGAGACACAAAAGAGATAAAGGCCCAGCTTGTTTTAACATGATTTTGTCCAAAGCCTTTGTTTAATTGCACACAGAATTGAAAGGGGGGGGAAATGACAATACATTCCAGATTCACTGAAGCAGTACTTAGGCTGGCGTCCGGTTTGAGATCCCCCCCAGAACAGCAGGAGTGAGACGATCTGAAAGGGTGTGAAGAGATGGAAGTTGAGGCTATGTGGCGCTGGCTTAACACTTGTGACTCTCACTTGTGGTTACTTCCAGGTCAGTGGTCCCACCCACTGCTCGGGGCCTGTCCGTGAAGCCTCTCTGGGGGTGCCGTGGGGGGCATAATCACAGTGTATCATGGCTGTTGTTTGAATTTTATTTCAGTCGCTAAATGGCTTTGAAAACGGCATAATGTGCTCGCTCCCCCTCAAGGCTGGATAATCGCCCACCTTATTTAATTGTATCCATGTCCAGTGATTTCCATATGTTTGCACTTTAATTATTCTAAATGCTCTTGTCAATGGCGGCGTGATGAGGTAAGTGCAGATATAAATACCCCTTTAACTGATTGTAGCTCTGTGGGTGGATTTGCATTATCCAGTGGGTGCCTTGTCCTGGGGGTGTGCTCACACATGGCCTAGCTCAGGACTCATTATTCACCCTAATTAGGAAATGTCCATTCTTGGCTCCTCCACCCTCAGTCAGACACAATCTCACTATGGAAATACTCTGCAGAGGTGAAAGGTATCTCCGAATCTAATCAAATCAATGTTCAAATCAAAGACTGTGGAGCTCGCCTGATCCATGTTGTAGGGAGGGCTTGTGTAGTCACCATTAACATCCAATTAGTGTCAAATACGTAGTGACCTTCCCACATATCCTTCATATTCACCAGGAAATCTTTTCACAGATAAATGAAGCCCACAGGCATGACCTATTTTTCACTCTCTTTCGGAAGAGCAAAATGCTTTTTGTCTTATTAACAGAATTGAACGGAATACCAATACAACAGATGGTTCCTCTACAAAAACTAAAGTGCAACTTGTAAGTACATGTTCTGGCAATTCCAACTTTAATATTTGTATTAAGCTTGGTGTAAAAAAAGTCAGTTTTTGCCAACAAATGTGACAAAAAAAGTGTGAAAAGAGTGCATGTAGTGTGAGCATAACTGTTAGCTCACCGGGACACCTGCTGCTATCCCAAAGCCATCGCTTCTTTCGCTCTCTATAGTTGTCTCTGCTTCCATATGAGTTAAGTGTGCTTTCATAATGATTGCTAATGCCACAATGTCTTTCTAATATTATCATATTCTTTAAAAAAGCAATGATTGGTGTTTGGTTTTACAAAACATGGTAATTTCCACTTTAAAATGTAAAGTGTTTGTTAACTTACAAGTTGCTCTTTAATCATGGATATAAGTAAACATATTTTGTTTTCTTTTTCCTAAATAGACTTGTTGATTGACCTTTCTGTTTGAAATTGATTCGTTTATGTCTAGACTGTGACGCTCTTTGTGTTAATGCGCAGTGAATTCCATATAAGGCAATTAGGAAATTAACAGGTAACAATGTGTGAGAATGAACACTGATATTATTTTGAACTCTTTTTGCAGAGACTTGTTGTAATAAAGTGCTCTTTTCATACCTCATCTAAATATCTCATCAAATATTTATTCCCCCTTGACCAGGTCTTGTTGCTGAATACTAAAATGAATCTGAGGCGTGGAGAAACGTGGTGCGAGTTTCACAATTCTTGATTGTCGCCACTGAGGAGAGCTTTTGCACTGTTATGAGTCCATTAGCGAGAGGATATTTGAACTGAAAAGCTAATCTCGAAACCATCTTGTAAAGTACTGTGTGTTTGTTCCGTTGTGACTCCCGGGGTAGTAGCGTGGCCGAATCAGCCGTTTCAAATGATGAAGGCTTTAGGTCACAGTGCTGCCGAGTCGGGGAGCGCTCTGTCACTTTCAATGCATTCCCCTGGAGCAGGAACAGCGGGGGCACTACTGGGAGCTCAGGTAAAGGCCATTCCACTGTGATTGTGGGGGTCACAGTCATGTGTTTGTGTGTGCGGCTGTGAGGAACGAACAAATGCCTTCCCACGGGATTCAACTCCATCCTTAAAGACGTTTTCAGTCAAGTGTAAAACAGCAGCAGCAAAGAAAAGCTTAAATACGCTAATTCTGAGGCAATCTTCTTCAGCTTATGCCAGACAAAATATATGTAGAACACACCATTCAAATGTATTTACAGCACTGTACATTAAGATAAGACTGATCTGTTTGATTGTTTATTTACGTTACGCCTTCGGGTGTTTGTGTCTGTCTATCTAATAATGGCACAAGAGCACTGATCACGACTTCCATATTCGAGAGATCACTTCACATAATGGGACTCGGCTAACTACGACATTAATTAGTTACCGCTAAAGTTGCAATTATTACCACTCTGCACTTTTTCCATTCGGAATTACATTTGTTTGAATAATCGTATAAATAAATGGGCATCTGAATGTAATGAATAAATATTCTATAAATTAATAATTTAGAAAGAATGACAAAAACAAGTGTTCATGCCAGTGATAAGATGAGTCACAGCCTGTTGTCATGACAAAAAGGGCATTGGCTTTTGCACGTGGTGGACTGGTGTACTTGTTAACTTGTGCAGGTCTACAGGTAGATTTCTCGTTTGGGCGTGTGAGTGGTAGGAGAATTGGGTGGGTACTCTGTGGCGACGCTGAGGGGAATCTCATCCAACGGGCAGTCAGAGCCAGGCTCTGGGCCGCTGCTGCTGCTGGAATAGGCACTACGGGATGGGGGCAGGCGAGGCCGCTGCTCCTCGCACCCCTGCCTGGCGCTGCCGTTGGCCAGGCGCCCCAGGCTCCCTCTCTCCTGGTAAGGCACAAAAGTGGAGAGTTTGGGCGGGTTCCTGGTCTTGCGCATGGGGGAGGGGTGACCGGGCATCCAGCAGGCGTCTGAGTGACCCAGCTCGCTGCACTCCGTTGTACAGTTCCCAGTCATCGCCACATCTGGTATGGAGCGGATATCTGCGGGTGACAAGAGACAACTATTATAGAGGAAGAAACATCTTTTAAAATGTATTTGTGCACAAAAACGGTGTTATCTGAAAAACCCCATGAAGCCCACCCCCCTCCTGGAGGTCTTTGCAGCTGTTGCTAAGCAGTCAACAGCAGTTGCTATGTAGCAGTTGCTATGCGCAGTGTAATGAGCGAGTGTGTGTAGTTGTCCACTCGTTGATGTGCTGCATCCTCTGTGTGATTGAGGAGGCCGAGTATCTAACAGCAGTCTGTCTGCATGTTTCAAATATGTCACAGCTTTGGTAAAGTGCTATTTCCAATTTCTTCGCCTCCAATATATGAGAGCACTGACACAATAAAGAAAAGACATTCCCAATGAAGAGATTATGCACAAAGTGAACCATGTATCCCTTTAGGCAAAACACTGTTGAATGAGTTATTGATTGACAGAACTGAAATGAGTTCTCTGCCCTTGATTTGTATCTACTTTTTATTCAACTGCGCCTAATTAAATAAATGGGCCCATGACACAGTGACCTCGTTTACCACTTGAGCTCCAATTTAGGCTCCTCTCAACATTATTTTCCTAAAACTTTGCATTTTGGTGTTGATTTATCAGGAAGAGATTGTTTTTTAAACATCATACCTATTGAAACAATTGAGATACAGACTTTCAGTTTTTCTTTTGTACTTAAGGCCACAATGAAAGATTCTGGGGTTAATAAAACAACAAGACTAACAACAACTAAGATTCACTTGCTACACTGAGTACATCACCACAGTCAGAGGCCAAAGGACGTAATGTAGGGGAGAACATTGTGGAGGAGGAGAATGATGCAACTGCTGCAGACTACATACAGTATGTGACAAGCAGCGAGAGGTAAGTTCACTGCAGTTGATGAAAATACCTGTCTTACTTTCACTATTGTATTGTACTCTGTTTTCAGTAGTAGCAGATGTCACTGGTCAAAAGTAATTCTTAAATCATTCCGAGGACAGGCATTATGAAGTGGCCTAAAGAGCTGTTCCGCATGGGTTCTATGTGTGTCTATGTCTAATGGATAATCCCTGGACAATGAACTCTATTGTTCAATGGACAATAATTACCACAATTCACAGCGCACATATTGTCCGTGATAATCTCGCTTTTCCTGTAAATCCAAATTGGTAGATGTCTATGCCTATTACATGCATTTACTCAACAATGGGTTTGCTGTTTTAAGCCAATTATACAATTATGCTGAAGAGGGAAAATGTGTATGTTACCCAGGCCAAGCCATTGTTTGAAATGAATTCAATTGAAACCCAATTTAATAATGGATATCTCTGAATTGTCTAAATACAATGTCTTTGCAATACGATTGACTTTGTAAAAAGATTAAGGAGCACTTCTTAGAAAAGGAATAATTGTGTAACCAAATTGTTTTAGTGTTATTTATGTCCCACAATCAGCTGTAGAATAAGCTTTAACTCAGGCATGTCCAAACTAAGGCGCAAGGGCAAATGGCGGCCCGCTGTGTCATTTTAGATAGCCCAACGCCTTGCTAACCAAAAGTACCATTAGAGATCTTTAAAAAAGTGTCATCCAGCCAGCTTCAGCCCTTACAATATAGGCATGTTATACCTCAATGTCAAGCTCAAAACGACTTGAATCCATTTATTTGTATGTATGTTGAGAAAGTAAACATTTTGCCGTTCAGCCAACTTCAGCTCTAACAGATGTATCAATATTTTCATGTTTTACCTAATTTTACATCTCAAAATAGGCCTATTCCAGTCTGAATATTTTTACAATTTGTGTTTTCGGCCCCTGAACGAGTCTGGTGAACAAACATGACCCTCTTACTAAAAAGGTTTTATAAGTGATAGGGGTTCATCTCGATTTGATTCATACTTCACAGTGCCCCATGCTCTCAGCTTGCATCCATACTTGCGTTACACCTGGAAGCAAAGTCATCTCATGTATTGTGATTGGGACATGTGTCTTTGTCGCTGACAGCTGGGCATGTATGCATCAGTGCAGTGCAGTGGCTACAAAAGAAGTTGAAGGGAAGAGTTGAGGGAGCAGCTCAGGGAGAGCAGGCTTCCCCTCCAAAAGGATTTCACACTTGATTAAAACCTCTCCACAGCTTCCAGGACGTTTATGCCACACCAAAGCAGCCTAGTGTAACATTCTGCATAGCTTGCTTAACCCAATATGAGTCTATTGAGAAAAAGAAAGAAAAAGGTGTCTTTGAGTGTTAAAGGAGCAATATGTAATATTTGCATGTCAAGTCATCATTAAATGACCCGAATATTTCAAAATGCGTTATTAAATCATACTCTTTTCAAATTCATCTTTAACTGATAACAGTAGTTCAGCCGAGATATTTGATTATCAAAATTAGTTTTACGACCCGTAAAAGTTGTTATTGTTTTGATTTTGATGTCCTACCCTCCGCCGTTTCGCCAATCAGGAAGTGTCATGTAAGTCCGTGATCGGGTTGCCAGAACTCCGTGCGGCTCACTAATCTCAGTGGTAAAATAACATGTGGCGCAGAACTAAAAAAGGTCTTGTTATGACTCTCAAATCATTAATGACAAAACAAAGACTAAAACGAGGATTTATATAGGGATGCCTTTGAACAATTGAGACAGCTGATAAAAATTCACGTGTGATGCAGAATTTTCTAGTTGGAGTCCGTTCTTCACAGTGTCTCTACTCGTGTGAATCGGTGGTCTAGTGGTCTAAACTGTGTGCTTACGATGCAGGAACCCGGGTTCGGTCCCGGGCTATGTCTTTTTGTATTTATTGCATGTTATCACATTCTATGACAGATTGCTCTAAAAACGGTAAAAGATGAAGGTCAAGACGTTTTTTTGCAGATTATAGCTTAATTGTAAAAATAATCATTTAAGACCACATGTACCCCAATTAAAATAATGTTAGTCTCTTTTTGATGTGGAACTTTTACATGTTTGTCTAAAAAATAGGGAATAAATAAAATTGAAAGGTGATATCCTCTTGAGCAAACCCTGATGTTGATACGCTGAAGAAATACGTTCCAACATCCATTCTTCCCACTCCTATTTTGGACATCAATTGCTTATTTATTTTGCATAAACTATGTATAATTACAGTGCTTTTATTTTGTTTTTGTGTTTTTTATCTCAAATGTCCAAATAATAATAATAAAAAATAATTAATCAAAGCATTCATTCAGCATTAGCACGGCTGTCATGGCAATGTGAATGGAGACGGACAAACAACTGATAAAATAATTCCCTGTGTTTGCTGCTGGATTTGGTGTGAATCTGGCAACCTGAGTCAGGGAGAGTGGGAGAGGACTACAAAATATTGACTGTAACTGCAGTACCACTTTTGGCCAGATTTTTCAATATTGTTCCTTTAAAATACTTTACATGCAACAACTGTGTCTTTGTGTTATTTGAAATGCTATTAGAAAATCCACGGGAGCAGCAGTCTTATTTTAAAGTTTTGTGGTTAAATTACCAAGAGGAGCTCCGAGACCAAATCAATACTTTACCTCTACACTGTCTTTGACACAGAAATACAAAACAGCAACATTATAAGTGTGTTCAGTGAAGCGTTCAAAGACAATACAACTGCCAAACAACCACTATATGTGCTCCCGGCTAATGCATAATACATATTTTACGTAATAACATATTCCGCTGTTATTTATGCAGCCCCTCAGGTAAAATCTGAAAATAAAGATTACTTTTGGCATTGGGTTCTGTGCAGTGCCCAATATATGCTGTCAATTTCAACTTTTATATTATAATCTACATATGGTACACCCTGGGTAATTTATGTATGTTGTACTTTTATATTTGCGTACAGTGCTGTAGCATGTCATCACTGTTTACAGTAAGTGTGTCGGGACCTAAAATAGGTCTACTGTGGTGTGATTTTATTTGATATAATACTGAGCTGTTGTGAAACATTATCGTTGACAGTGTTTGCACATATTTGTCGTAAAAACTGTAGAATAATAATGTCATATAATATGCAAAAAGACATAAACCAAAATGCTCTGGCATACAGCTCTATTCCCCAAGTGGCTCCAAGTACTTGTTCAATGCTTTGGAGGTGTTTTTGTACTTTTGCCATGTGAAGCACAGTGCACGATTCAGGGTTTTACGTTGAACCAGAGCAAAAAAAATGTCCAGAACCAAGCAGTCTGTGTGTGAATCCACCAGAGGCAAATCTCTGAGGAAGCAGCTCGTCACCCAAGACACTACAAGAGTGCCCCCTGGATCCTGAGGGAGATGACCACTACCAGGAGTCCATCCAGCTGCTTTTCCAGTGTAGGGAAGAACGCCCAGGACTTCCGGACTATCCTGTCCTTCTGAGCCTGGTCAAGGAGATCAGAGCTTCCGGACCGACCTGCGCTTCCGGAGCTCCATTACATGATGCATTTGCTTGAGCTCATCAATCAGTGAACCTAAGACACCTTTGTCTCTGCTGCTGTCAGCTTCTCCAATGAACACTGTTCATGAGGGAGGTTTTCTCCCGGGTTACATGTTTTAGATTAGATCTATCTACTGTATTTATATCTTTTTACTATTCTGTTACTTGTTAGTGCACCATATTCCAACACAAATCCCAGTTTGTGACTTCAAGGGCAACAAAAATTCAAATTCTGAAAAATTAAAGGCTCTGTCTATAATAGTTCTGACATTTATTTATTTAACTATTTAACTATTGTTAACGCCAGCTATATGTACAACATACAATTCTTTTTTTTAACCAACATTAACAACATGAACAAAAGGAACAGGAAAGATGCTACAACCTTATAATCCTTCTCCAAGGTGTGGGCCATCCATAATGCAGTACAGCCCTCACCTGCACCCAACAGTGTTTGAAGAACTAAAAGGGGTGACAGTCTGTGCTGGAGATGATTGGCCATTCTTTAACACAGTCAATATTTAGATGGTGTCTCAAGATGAGTTCTCTTATAATTCCATTAGTCCAAAGAAAGACAAACAAAGGTTGCCCTTGA